AAAGTGGATGCATTCCTTTTGTGGTTGAAAGAGCCGGCGCACATCGCGGCCCTTCTCGCCCTCGTCATTTTCTGGTTCTCTTTTCTCGTCTTGATTTATGGCTTGTTTCGACTCGGTTGCATAATCACTGTTAGAGTGGTGAGGCGCGTTGCTAATGCTCGCTCCGCTGCACCGGTTGTTACTTTGTCTGAAGGCTTGACGGAGGGAGGCCAGAATCCGGGTGACACAAAGGAGTCAATGTTCACTTTGGACGAAATTCTACCAGGCGCAGATGTTCCCAGCCTTGTCCCGACCTTTTCAGTTTCTTTCGGGTCGATTGACGAGTCCACGGCGCACACGATGGACCACAGTCAAGTTGAGGAAATGGATAGCGAGGATAGTGAGAACGAGGAGTATTTGGATGCATTCGAGTACCCGCCGCTTCCCGAGGACGACGACGAGGACCTTGCAGAGGACCGCACTCTGGAGGATGGGGCAGCAGTCATAGGCCTAGGACCGTTCAAGGCCGTCGACAAAATGGAGGACCATGAGGAGCACGGACAAGAGTGCTCTACTGCAGGGAGTTCGGTGTTTAGTCAGGGTATATGCGCAGGTTAGTAAAGAGCCTCTCTGAGTTTGAAGAATCGATGACCGAGCGCACTTCAGATAAAGGCAGTGTCGATCTCGTTCTGGACATCACGAGCTCGATTGACGCCTCTCGTCGCACATTGGATGCCTTTGCCCTGGACTCTGAGGAACACATTCCTTCACCGAACACTGCGATGGACCTTCCGGTAGACCTGGACCCCGCAATGATCCCATTGCCCACGGACGACGATTTCTTCGGCCCGGCCTGCGAGGAATCCGAGCAAACCTCTTCCCCGACATTGCTTGCTTGTGTTGCTCAGGTGGTGGTGGCGGTTTCCGCATCCGTTCTCGAGGTCTCTGAGAACATTGCCGAGGCACATTTCGCTTCTGAGGTTGAGGAGGTGGACGCTTCTGAGGTACCTTTGCCGGAGGACCATGATGATTGGATTGACGAAGGCGCCTCCAAATCGTCCGAGGACAGTATTCGTATCGAGGAGCCTGCAATTGGGAATGAAACGGCTGGGTCTGTGTCGCCAATGGGATTGGAGCCGCCCGTGGTTACGTATTCGCTGATGGACAACGATGAAGTCGACGAGCTTGACCCCGCGACGGGGCCACTGTCGGACGATGACGATGACGAGTTGCTCGAGCCCGAGGTCGCTGCTGAAGAGAGGGAGGAGTGGTGGGTCCCTGCCGAGGAGCTAGAGCAGCAAGCAAGCATCCTCCTTTCCCCGCGCACACCTTCGTTTGAGGAGCTGGACACTATTACGGAGGGAGAGATTGACAGGTCGTTTGATCCTTCGCTGGACATTTTCGACAAAGAGGCGACCACGTCAGAACGCCTTGGCCCGCGAGTCGTTCGTTCTTCCGACTCGCAGCCACCGCACTCTCCCCCCCCCCAGCAGACTGAGGTACTTCCAGTCTCCCCTTGCCAGATGCCACTTCCTTCTCCGTCTGAGAGCGAGGACCTTTCGCTACACTCTTCTCCTGACCGTGTCGAGGATGCTGTGCCGCCCCCTCCCGAAGTCGAAGTCAAAGAGGAGACGGCTGGTCCGTCGGCCTCTGAGGCAAGGGCAGCCACAACTCCTGCTCCTCGCCGACCTCGCGTTAACTTCAGCTTAGCTGCTCGAGCATCCGCTGCTGCCGCTGCATCCGTGTCAAGAACTGCTGCGGCTGAGAAGCCTTGCTCTGGCCCTCCTTCGACAAACAATGGAAAGACCGACGCGCACGAGAAGACGCCAGAGCCAGTGCAGCCTCTGGGGCCGACTCCGGGGCCGAGCACTTCCGCTGCTGCACCAGCGCTCGGTCCTCCTATTGAGATCAAGCGGGTATCGGGTGGCCGCTACACGCACAACAGGAGGTTCAAGAGCAGGGGGAAGAGGTGAGCTCGCCGATCGAGCTGGAGGGATTTCTGCCTGGGTATATGCGCCCAGAGTCGCGATTGCGACACACCGACTATTCCGTTTTCTTTTTCTTTTCTCTTTTCCTTTCTCTTGTCTTCCTCTCTCGTGTCTCGTGTCGCCATCTCTCGTCTCGTGGATCTCGCACATCATCTATAGATTGTATATTTTTCATCTATTTATTATCTGGACTGGTTGTATCGAGGGGCGGGGGCGGCGATCTGCTTGCCCTCATAACTATACCCCACATTATCTATTTATTTCTTATTTATCTGTCTCTCTATCTGTCTTTATCTTAGTTCTTAGATCTGTATTACGGTCATTGAGGCGAGGAGGGAGGGAGGGGGCAGTTATACGCCCGTGTACCTTCGATGATCGATGGACATTTACTATACGTGTATCTTTTCTCTATATTCTCGTGGATCTCGCATCGATGTCATTGATTTTTTTGTATATATAGAGATGAAATACAGATTGATTTCATCCGCAAAACTTGTTCGAACTTCGAAGTCAAAGTGCGAAAAACTCAGAGTTGGGTGCGCAAAGGATTGAGTGCCTAAGTTCCTCTTTTTATCACTAGCTTGGCCCCGTCTCTACATCGATCGAGTGGCATTCAAGGCATACATCCTGCCTTAGTACGAACCCACTTCACGAAAACCTGGCACTGGCAATCGTGGTGGTTTGTGCACGCGGGGTAAAATACGTAGAAATAGAGATTTATTGCTAAACGAATATAGCTTTTTATTACAAAGCTTAAATATGTGCCCGCCTAGCTCAATCGGATAGAGCGTCAGACTCTTACGAGCCAGAACATGGTGGGTTATCTGAAGGCTGCGAGTTCGACCCTCGCGGTGGGCTAATGTTCTCTTTTTGTCATCATACATTTTGAATGTTACAAGATGTTTCCATTGAAGCAGCTACTGAACATGTATGTCTCTTGCGGTGGTTGATAACTTCAGAGAACGACCTTCAATTTACTTTTCATTTATAATGAAAGTATAATAATATATGATTATGGTTGTGTATGATACACGTCACCAGATTCGCTCTATTAATCCCATCAGTATACTTGCAACGACATCCGTCAATTGGGCGCGGTGAGAGTTATAAATGGTTATGATCGATTCTAGTATTTCATCTCGATTGCTGGATAACGGTAGGGATCCTTGCAGGACGGCACATAGGTACCAAACGGAGTCGTCGAGAGCCACGCGTTCCAATCTTCGTTGTCTTCTGTCTTCAGAGGCACGAGACACGAAAAGAGAAGAGAGTTCGTGAATGGTATAGGCGGAAATAGCAGAGAAGAGTTCACGAGCATCGCGGGAGAGAGCTTGTAAGGCGTGCTTGAAGAGGAGCAAAAGTTCAGGGCGGAGGTCCTTTCGAGATTCGGGGCCTTCGGGTTGAACGACATCTTCGAGGGCCCGGAGTGATAGTGTTCTGAACAACTTCAAGCTGGGATGAAAGATTTCGGACAAGAGGGTGCCGATGATATCGTCGTCGAAGCATTGGACAGATAAGGCGCGTTCGAGGAGCGAAGATAGGATAAAGTCGATGTTGGGAAGCGTTGAGTTGTTGCTTCTAGATGCAATTGCTGATTCGAGGGCACCTGAGAGCGTGTGTAAGGCATCCAGCGTGGTTGAGACAAAAAGCTGGGTATATGCACTTTTGTCGGTGGCTGAAGTCTCTTCTCGTCCAAGTAGATCCGCGATATGAATCGCCCGTTCATAGGTCTGGAGAACGGCCTGTGAGGATGACAGTTCCGGTGTTGAGGTCGTATGTGATACTAAGGGTATCTATATGCGTCGTGTTCAAATGTATGAGAGATGCTGTGACGCACCTGGTCGATCAACAGAGACTACCTCCTTTGCTGTCTTCCTCTTTTTCTTGTTCTGCGGTGCCGATGACGCGTCAACATTGCTCGCACGGAGAAGTGCAATATCTTCAATGAAGAGGAAGATTAGATATCGGCGAAAAAAAAAGAGGGACGGACACAATATCGCGCTATAAATGAAATAAACGCACCCGCGGCGTCTGCATTTGATTTGCGCTTGAGAGTGCGAAGCTCGTCCTCGAGGAAGAGCGCACGTTCTCGCCATCGCTCCACAGAGTCTCCGTTCGAGGGGTCGCTGTCGAGGGGAAATTGTCTGCAAAGCTGAGCTATGTACGCTGGGGGCACGGTCAGCATGGGACATTGTCGGAGGATTGGACGAGAGGAGACGACGTGCCTGCAAACGAACAACCACGCGGCACGCTCTTGACGATGACGAGAGCCTGTTCGTCGCTGTCAGCAAACGATGTCGGCGAACGAAGACAACACTATTACTGACGACGGCGAGTCTGAGTCTGGCGGAGTCGGACGGCTGCTGCATGGCTGAAGAGAAGAAAAACTCAGAAAGGCACGAAAGAAACCCAACTCGAGTAAGGTTTGGGCTAAAATATACGGATTAGGAAAGTGACGTCAAGGATCCAGGCGGTGGGTCTGGGCCGGGCAGCGGCTTTTCCGGTTCTCTCCTACCTTCGACTCTGACCGCCATCCTCTCTGAACCTCGTCGTCGTCGTCGTCGACAGCGAGCACGACACCATCAACAGCGCCGACGCCTACTCTCGACGTCGTGATCGACGCCATGGACGGCTTCTTCTCAGGCGCGCCTCTCCGTCCCATCGTCGACTCCAAGGATGAGAACATCGACAAGTTCGCACAAGCTATCGCAGGCAGATTCAACAACGCCGAACGACCTCTTCTCACCGCTCGTCTTTCTCCCGTGGACATAGATCCAACAACTCCTCTTCAACGACGCTTTCGAGCAGCGTCGTCGGATGGCAAGCAACCTTCAGCGGCAGCCCCGTCGCTCCCAAACTCTCCCATGAACCGCTTGTCACTTGCTGCTCGACCCTCGACCTCCACCTCGTCTTCAAATCCCCCAGCTTTACCTTCCGCATACCCACCAAGTTCTTTCACGACGCTCAAAGCTGCCGAACTTCCCGAGCTTCTCCAGAATGCAAACAACGTCGTCATCCTGGACATCCGCGCGCATTCTGCCTATGGTTCTGCGCGGATACCTCATGCCATCTCACTTTCCGTGCCGTCAACATTGCTCAAACGGCCGGCTTTCACCCTTCACAAACTATCAAACATGCTCTCTTCAGCCTCGGCTCGGAAACGTTTCAATACTTGGGACACTGCTTCTCGGATTCTTGTCTACGACGCGGATTCTGCAGTGCTAAATGACGGTTCCAACATCCTTGGCCTCCTTCGCAAGTTCCGTCTCGAGGGATTCACCGGCGAACTTGCATGGCTCCATGGAGGCATACAGTCGGTCTGGAAAGACCACCGGGAACTTGTCGACAGCAGTCCAGTTGTAGAAGACGAAACCGAGAATGACGGGTCTGGTTTCTTGCGTGCCAGGGACCTTCCTGTCGATGCATTTACGATCTCTTCGACTATGAGCCGTAGTGGTGGCTTTCCAACTCCGGAAGCTACGATGGCAGGCGCTGCGACAACATCGTCATCCAAAGTAGCAGCCATTCCAATGCGAGCATCTCGCTCGGCCACCAAGAGTTCCGATCTGAGCCTCGTATCGAATCTGACCGCGGCAAATCCATTCTATGACAATATTCGACAGAATCGAGAACTATCGCACGGCATGACTGAACGAATACCTCTGCAGCTGTCGGAGAGAGCGGTCGCGAGAGCGCAAGAGCTTCCATTCCCGTGGCTGAGGGAGCTCGCGAGTCACGCAGGAGATGGCGATGTCACAGAAGCATTGGCCATGCAGTTCTACCGTATTGAACTGGGCGAACAGAGACGTTTGCAGGGAGTGATGGATCACCATTCGAAGGCGGGCAAGGTGGTATTGGATCATGAGGACGCACAAGAGAAGCAGAAGGTAATCACGGCCTCAAAGAAGTTTCCCTTCAGTATTCTTGCTGGGTTTGAGAAGGGCAGTAAAAACAGGTGCGTGGATAGGCACATAAATCTACATGTAACTAATTGTTTTTCTAGATATCGAAATATCTGGCCATTTGAACATGCTCGCGTCAAGCTCAGATCGAGCAAGAGCGACGACTACATTAACGCTTCATACGTGCAACCGCTGACTACGCGACGGCGGTACATCGCTACGCAAGGGCCCTTGCCATCAACATTTAAGGATTTCTGGACGTAAGTGGGGATGCCATTTATAGGCGTTACGTGACTTATAATGAAACATAAATATACAGGATCGTCTGGGAACAAGATGTACGCGTCATCGTCATGTTGACGAAGCAGTGGGAAGGCGGTGACGTGAAGTGCGGGGAGTACTGGGCGGAAGGCGACTATGGGCCATTGAGATTGAAGTGCATATCTGCGGGTGGTGCGCTGGAGGAGGATCGTGGTGGAACAACTCAGGCCAGTGCCTTTGGCCCTGGAGGGGGGTTCTTCACAGCACCATCCGACGGCAATATCTCGGACGGCGGCGGGCACAACAACACAATACGACGGGTCTTTGAACTCACTCATACTGGCTTCCCTACTGAGCCACCGCGAGTGGTGAGGCAACTACAGTATGTCGGATGGCCCGATATGGATGTTCCCTCAAATCCGAAGGGATTTCTCAAGTTTATGGCAGAAGTGGACGCGCTCGTCGACTCTGTTAATTCCATCAGCGCACATGATACCACTACCCCTCATCTTTCTCCCGCTTTATTGCACTGTTCTGCTGGCGTTGGGAGGACAGGGTCATTTATCATTATCGACGCGATACTGGACGGCGTCAGGAGAGAAATCAAGAGGGTTATTGAACTGCGCAAGTCGGCGTCTTCAAGTAGCGAGACGTCGAAAGATAGCGGCGCAAGCAGTCCCGAGGTGATGGAGGTAGACAGTAGTCGCGATGCAAGCGTCGAACCCGTGCCTCCTCCCAGTGTCATAGATTCGACGTTATACTCTGGGTCGCGCTATCAAACGCCCTCGACTCCGACGACCTCGAATTCATTATCTCCAGAGCCGAAGATGCATGCGGGCCCGACGGCGACGCTGCATGTGGGCGGAACGAAACGCCGTGGCGGGGGAAACGATATACATATTCCTGTTGTTTCTGCGGGCCAAGAGGCCGTGACCCCACGCGCTCAAGCTAAGATAGAGCTGCCTCCATTCACATCTCCATCGTCCTCGTCCTGGTCGGCGCCGAAATTCGTACGCTCGCCGTCTGATATGGCTGCTCACGGGCATCCAAGCCACGTTCAATCGCCAAGACGTGCAGCCGGGCCCATTCGACACCGTCCTCGTCATGCACATCCTCGCCGGATCCTAGCATCAGACTTTACAGAGGCCGATGCCGATTCGATGTTCACAAGTGGGGGCCTGGATCCCGCTTTTGCGATGGACGTAGAGTTCGTGCATCCTATTCCTCGATGGGCAATGGGCGAGGCAGGAGGAAACAGCTCATCCGGGGAGGGCACAGGGAGCGCGAGCGGAGGCGATATGGGAAGCGTCAGCTCGGGTTCGGTCGCCAGCTCAAAGAGCGCACTCGTCCGTCCAATTCAGCAAGCGTTGGCTAGACTGTCGTCGGGCGACGACGTCAAAGCTTTGGCCGAACGAGCGGATTCGGTCGGGAGAAAGATGGTGAGGCTCGCGCCCCGCGGCCGTGCAGGGAGCGGGAGTGGCAGCGGGAGTGGCAGCGGAAGTGGCAGCGGAAGTGGCAGTGGGGAGGCCGCGAGTATCTCGTCGAGTGGCGGGGGAAGCAGCGGAGGGAGTGGGAGAGGTAGCGGGAGTGGAGGTAGCTTCGCGTCCTCGTCTTCGTTGGGCCTCAACATGTTTGCAGGCATGGGTATCTCAGCTACGAACAGCCCGTCTCCGAAGGCTTCCATCACTGCACCCA